AAAAAAAAAAAAACCATTTGTATGCAGGTGATTAATTCCAATATCTTGTAGGTAAGTGGAGCGGCTGCTCCTGGTACAGCTTCTGCCCCTGCTGAGCTCATCACTGGACCCAGTTCAGTTTGCCTACCAACCTGCTGTGGCACCGGAGTGGATGACCGTCATTCACCTCCTACATCGTTCAAAAATCATTTTCACTGAGTTATCCAGTGCCTCTAGAACCATTCTTCCCACAGTTCTGAAGGACAAGCTGGAGAACATAGATGTGGACCATCACCTCACAACATAGATACTGGACTATCTGACCGACCACAGTATGTGAGAACTCAGGCTGTGTCGGACAGGGTCGTCTGTAGTACGTGGGCCTCACATGGAACAGTTCTGACTCCGTTCCTCTTCACCATCTACACTGCAGGCCTCTCCCACAACTCCACCCAGTGCTTCCTGCAGAAGGACGGACAGTGTAGTTTGCTGGGGCAGCAGCATCACTGCTGGGGACAGAACGAGCCTGAACAGGCTGATCCAAAGGACCAGCTCTGTTCTAGGATGCCATCTGGACCCAGTGGAGGTGGTCAGTGACATGATGGCTAAGCTGTCATCCCTACTGAACAACAAGATACCTATCTTATCTTACTTCAGTCACTTTAATTTTAAAACTGTGTAATTTTAAAACTGTATATACTGTATATTCTGTGTATTTATTATTTCACTCTTATTGCCTGTTCTTATTGTCCTTATCTTCAACGTTATGCTGCTCTGTTGTTTGTTAATTGTCCCTTGGGGATAAACAAAGTCTTCTGATTCTGATTCTCCTATCTTTGATAAAACAATTATCATATACATCCCCACTCAGGTGAGGGATCTCGAGCCACTTGCCGTCCCTGGTGGTCTAGTGGTTAGGATTCGGCGCTCTCACCGCCGCGGCCCGGGTTCGATTCCCGGTCAGGGAACTAATTTTTCAAACAATGTCAACTCTGCGCACATTTGAGCACATATCAAAGTCTGACTATGAACTCCTTGGCTCTTTTAACCGGATTTACGCACAAAACTAAATATCCTACTCTCAAAACTCTAGCATCATAAGACATGGTCCTTACTTAAACTTCAATCATAATTTCCAAGAGCAGAGTGTGGAGGACTGCATGGGAAGATCCTAGAAGACATGAGGGTCTACTCGGATGTCTGCATAATGTATATTTTTTATGATCAGTACTTGTCCACAGAAACAAATAAATGTTGTTATTAGAGCATGTTTCTACCAGCAATTCCTTACATTTTTTATCTTTTAACCAGGTACACTCTCAGAACAGCATTCAGGTCAGATGACCAGATGCGTCTGGTCGCACAGAGTAGCAGATTAAAGCACTGATGAGATCTTATCTCTGCTGTACCTGCACCTAAACTTTGGAACAAACCAGAAGCTCATAGTCAAGCTCATATTCAACACATGTTCAAAACATGTTCACTCTCAACCTCCACTCAGCCTCCATCTGACGATATCAACATTATATGCAGGATTCTGAAGGCACAAAAATGGATGCCCACAGTCCCTGGTGGTCTAGTGGTTAGGATTCGGCGCTCTCACCGCCGCGGCCCGGGTTCGATTCCCGGTCAGGGAACTAATTTTGAAAATGTAAGGTCGATGAAAGTTGTGTTCATTCCTACCCTGCATCAACCCTCCTGCTAAAATCCCGACCTATTGCACTAACCAGTTGTTAATTTCCAGAAATGTCTCTCTGTCATAGCTTTGAAAACATGCTCGTATTGTGTCTAATTACAGTATTTTAATAAATTAGTCGTTATTAGCAAAACCCGTTGTTATACGTTCACTGTCTAATAGTGCGCCTCTTCCCTGCTCTGGCCTCTCTTTAATCTTCGCTGCTGCATGCTCGGTCTTGTTGCTCACTGACGTACTGCAGCAGGCTGATTCACTCAACGTGATGTCATTCCATATGTCCTCCCTTCTGTCCGGTGTTTACCTGCGTCAAGATGCGCAACGACAGCGGAACTTAAACTACTTCAACTTTCACAATAAAGGTTTTCTTACAAAATCAAGGCTAAATATTTCCATTTGCCTGATAAGATCTTAACTTAAACTTAATACAGTGCTGCCACATAGTGTGAAATGATTCTTATTAGTTTTTATGGCTGGTTGATATTGTAAACAAAAAAAAGAAAAAGAACTGTGAAGCCAAACGAGAGCCTAGCTATGGTTTTGTGGGGCCTTAAATAGAATTTGACATCACCCAAGCTGACCACATCTTGATTGAATTGAAGGTTTTTTTGATGATTTTGTTGATCTTATATTACTGATAAGTATTTATGGAAACATTACTTCACGCTTCTCTCTTTTCTTTTTAGCCCCAGAGGGATAAATCCTTTTGGTAATAGAATAGAATAAAATAGATCTTTATAGTCACTGTTACAAGAAAAATGAAACATAGTTTGGCATTCTCTGTTGGCACCATGTAGATTTACATTCAGATTGTTTTAGCATAGGAGAAGAGATAAAAAATAGACATAAGTTTAAGGGCACCTTCTCAGGGAATGTGTGTAACACACAATAACGTTAGTATCTACACAGTAACACAGGTATTTACACACACACACACAACAGCACAACACACCACACCAAACACCACACAACACCTCAAACACACACACACAAACAAATCTACTTGCAAGTACAGTGTGCATGAATGTGATTCCAGGTCTGACAGTGAAAATGATAACATCAGTAGCATTAAGTTGTCGGTCTATTAACACACTTATGATTAATATTTTGAAAATATTTAATAATATGCTGACAAAAACACAGGCGCTGGAGGTGGCGGAATTGAAGATGTTAACACGTCAATTGGGCGTGACCAGGACGGACAAGATTATAAATGAGTACATCAGAGGGAGACTTGGAAGTGAGTGGTTTGGAGACTGCATTGATTGGCGCCGAAGGTTAATGCTTTTACTTTTGAAGGACACCGGAAGCTATGTGTTCCGCCGCAGTTAGCCTGATGTTTCTCAGTCGGGGAGTTCACACACAACTACTTGGCAGAGGAATGCAGCACTCGTAGCCAGCCGTACTGTAAGTATCTGTAGTAGAAATCCCTTCACTTTTGTGTGACTAAATATATGCGTTGTTGTCAGTATTTGAGTTACTATGAATCCTTTTCTTTGTCTTTATTAAGCGCTATGTTTCTACGGGACGCTAATGTTAGCTTCACAGCTAAGCTAGCTGGTTTCCGTCGTCGGGATTCCCTTTATTTCTTTCCTTAAATTCTTTAAACAGTGTTCAGATTGTAATAAGTTAACACGACGATCCCGTTTCACGAGTTTACCTTTGTGTTTGCTTTAAATAGGTCTTCCTTTGTGCCGTTTTTCTTTTATGATGGAAAAGTGCAATATAAACGTCGCAATTTAGCATCTTTTTAAAGTCATTATCTGTGTATTGTCAGTTAAACATTGATTCATTTGGCTCGTAGTTTGTTATCTAGCCAGTGAAAGGTAACATAGTTGGTTGTGTAGTCCCTTTAATTGAGTCGGAGAGCTGATCCTGGGAAGGGCATGATGTAGTAGGACTGGTATGCAGAGGTCTGACATCAGCTAAAAAGTCTCCAAAGCAGTGTTGACTCCAAATAAGGATGAAGAAGCCCTAAAGTGCTAACACTGTCTTATCACTTCCTCCATACTCTGTGGTGTCTGTGGCCTCTGTGTCACATATCCACGTTTAAGTTATTTTTTTATTTTTTGACTGCAGGAAATCTGAAGGCGTTACTCCCATCATCATCATCGTAAGAGTCAGCACACCATGGCTGGCTTCAGGCAAGAGGATGTTGAGTTGTACTACGAGATGGGAGAGGAGCTGGGGAGGTAAGCTTTGTGGGCCTGTTTTAAAACGTTTAATTGAAAGCATTATGTGTGAAAACCCTGCTTTCTTCTTCATTGCTGTCCTATCCAGCTGTTGTGCTGTGTGCTTCAGTTCATCTGAAAGTGTAAGAACACTTTTTTTGCATTTGTAAGACACATTTTTTAAGTTGTGTAAACGATGAGTTTTCAGCTTATCAATGCTTTCCATAATTAAAAACAGATCTAAATGTGAAATACTGCTTGAGATGGATTTTAATGCCAGGTTGGGACTGATCTGAACAGGGCTAGATATTTAATATGTGTGAGCAGCACTGTATTAAATGTCATCTTTAATTCTTTTCTGCTGTGCTGGATAGTTTGTGAATGAGTCATCACATTTTTGGAGATGAAACACAACTTTCTGGCTTACCTTTTTTTTTCTGCAGTAATGCAGCAAAAGTGTGACGTCACTGCCTCTCAATGTGCCCTTGCACCTCTGCTGTAGTGTAAGAGAGGGGATGGTGTGTGTGTGTGTATGCAGATACTAAATGGATCTAAACCACACTGTTTTATTTACAAATGTCTGTTTTATTCTATGTGGAATAAAACAGAATTTTCTTGTTTTTAGTTATGTTAATGATTGTTTTTGTTGTGCTGACAACACACTGTTTTGCTTTCTTGAGCTTCAGTCAGAGATTTTAACTTCTGTTTGGATAACAGACATTTAATTTAATTCTGGATGGAGCACTTTCAGTGGCAGAAACTTTTTGTCACTCATCCAAGTAACTTCTTCAGTTCAGTCTCTGCTGACTGCAGATTGCAGTACCACTGATTAACAATGGGCTGTGTGAGGTTGGTTTCATGATCATTGATCAATGCCCAAGAGTACCTTTGTTAGGACGGTGTTCTCTCTGTGTTGTAGTGTCCTGATGACACATTTGTGCTCTAGTGGATGATGAGAGTCAAAACCTTAAATGCTGATCCGTGTGCGTTGGTTTACGGTACACGTCGACTTTTAAGTGTGCCCCATTACTGATGGAAATTTCACAGTCTAAGAAGGCTAGCACAGCACAGTTGGATCAGGCTTAAGCAGTATTTACACTTGTAGGCCAGTGGCCAGTGATTCGTTCAATGATGAGGATGTACACATCCTGGACAGGGAACATTTATGTGAAAATGGAAAGACCATCTCGGAATTGAGGAAGGAGCTCAGGGTACATCTTTCACCATGTTACAATGCTGTGATTGCAGGCCATTGGATCAGTGGCCATGATAATATGCATATCAATGATCATGAAACAATTGTTAATCAGTGGTGCTACTTTTGATCATCATCATGTGCGGTTTGTTGGTGAATTTTGGCTCCTGCTTCTTCACTATGTTGCTTTAGTTTATTGAGACATTGGACATTCATTTATCACAGCTGTCTTGAGGTCTTTTCACAGCATTTCAGTCTGGTTGAGATGTCAGTTTTAATTTACTGTGGCAACACCTTCATTTTTTTTTCAGTCATTCTGTTGGAGATTTGTTGCTGTGCTTGGGGCCATGTCCTGCTCCATGACCCAGTTTCAGCCAAGCTTTAGCTGTTGGACAGATGGCCTCACATTTGACTCTAGAATAAGTTGGTATACAGAGGAGTTTGTGGTTAAGTCAGTGACTGCAAGGTGCCCGTGTCCTGTGGCTGCATTACAAGGTTGGATCATCACCCCTCCACCACAGTGTCTGACAGTTGATGTGTTGTGTTTGATTTTGCTATATGTTGGTGTGCATTATGGCCAGATATCTCCACTTTGGTCTTGTATGCCCAAAGCAGATTGTTTCTGAAGTCCTGTGGTTTGTTCAGATGCAATTTTGCAAACCTAAGTTTTGCTGCCATGTTTTTGTTTTTTTTCCCCAAAAATTTAACAAACTTTAACATTTAACATGTTAACTGAGCTCTCTAGAGTCTGAGATGTAGTTCTTGGGTGTGTTTTGCAGTTTACTTGAGCGTTGAATGGTCTGATGTTAGGGTGAATTTGCTAGGATCTAAACTTCTGGGATGACTTAATCCTAAAGATCAGCAAACTCCCAAAACATCTGCTTTTATAGAGGTCCTCACACTTACTGTTGATTGGTTGATCAAGTACATTTGATGACCCTCTTAATTCCTATGGAAGCAGAAAGGGTGTGCTTTGTTTGCCATAGGACTAGGGCTGCCACGATTAGTCGACTAGTCACGATTACGTCGACTATTAAAATCGTTGCTGACTAATTTAATAGTCGACGCGTCGTTTGAAGCTTTGTAAGATCCCAAAAGACGCAGGAATAAGTAGTAGGATTTAAGAGCCACCATTCTCCTGAATTTCCACCCGGACAACAAAATTGAAAAACCATATCGCAGAATTCATAGCGCGGCCCAGCCAATTCCAGTTTTCCAACAATGGCGGCAGCTACTTAGTTTTAATATTACTCTTATTTCTCTTTCTGGGAAACTAAATATTTTCAGGTGAGAATGTAGCTGTGTAAACTTCAAATATCTGAGCCGACTCGACACATCGTTTTCAAACCCCCGCGGTCTTTCACTACTCGGGTTAAACATGATATACAAGTCACTTTGATAACTTAAAAATGTTATTGTTTGGCTTTTTCAGTGTTTTATTTGTTCGTGAGTAAATCGGTTTGGCTGAGATTAAAGTTATTAGATTAGATTAAATTTAACATTAATCCTGGGTTAGGTTCGGGGTTTCACATCAGCTGACTCAGCAGAGTAATTTACTTATAGGTTCCTCCGGGGTTTTCACACAGCTGAATAAACATCAAGCAGAAAACTAATTAAAAAAGTGTGAGACGGTCGAGAGTTTACGCCAGCGCCCGTTATATTTTAGATAGCAAGGAGCAGACGGCGAGTTTCACTCCACCGAGGGAGCTCGTGCGTACTACCCGGCTTTCTTTAGACCACGAAGAGCCGGAGTCCTCAGGTGGAAGCAGCCTCTAAATTTGGACACCCGCTGTTTCCGGGCCGGTGTTCTGGGAATCCATCCTACCCGACAAACCATCCTACCCGTTGTTTCTGCGCATGCGCACAACATGAAATTAAGTGGCGAACCATCCTACCTTTGTGAATGTGACCTACAACCATAATTTAACAGCTAAATTTAGTGGGTAATTGTCCTACCTTTGTGAATATGAGCCAGAAGCATACTTTAACGGCTAAAATTAAGTGGCAAATCATCCTACCTTTGTTAATAAGAGCTAGAAACATACTCTGACGGGTAAAATTAAGTGCCAAACCATGCTACCTTTGTGAATGTTACCTACAAGCATACTTTAACGGGTAAAATGAAGTGGCAAACCATCCTGGCTTATGCATATGAGCTACAAGCATACTCTGATGGGCAAAGTTAAGTGGCAAACCGTCATACCTACTTAAATTTGTGCTGGAATTACTCTGTGACTGCAGAAATGTGCATAAACTACCTACGGTAGGACGTTTTGCCAAAGTAGGATGGTTTGTCAGAACACGGGTCAATAATAACGGTGACATTTAACGTATTTTATCCGATAAATAAGGTCTCAAGGTTGGCAAGTATGGCCATAACACCTCACTCACTCTTGGAGCACTTTTTTGCCACATGTATCGCAAACCACGCCTCAGCTGTTTGTGGAAGTAAAATGCGTCCGCACAATTACGCTCAGCCATTGTTGTGAGTGCGCACACCAAGGGGCTGCGAGACATTTATACAGCCGTTTTTCGCACATGACTATGAAAGGCGGAAGAGGAAGTAGTTCCTTTGAATGTAGACAATCTGAATGTTATAGTTTCTTTCCACTGTGTTCCTGTTAATGATAAACTATAAATTTACTCTAAATTACTAAAATATCGATATTTTAATGTGAGAATCGATTCTAGAACATAAATGATTGGTATCGGAGGAATTGATATTTCAGGATCGATCCGCACATCACTACTGCTCAGTTGTCAACAATGGCGGCAGCTAGTTAGTGTTAATATTACTCTTATTATTCTTTCTGGGTCACAAAATAAACGTTTAACATATTTTCAGGCGAAAATATCTGCTCAGTTTATCAAGACATCACATATTTTCAAAAGCGCTCCGACGTTTTGTGCTCCGACGTGGGTAACAGACGTCTCACCAGCTCGATAGCTAGCCGGAGTTCAAGGCTCACTAGAGCCCGTGAGAACACCGGACTCCCGGCAAATTGTTTTCAAACCCACCGCTGTCTTTCGCTACTCAGGTTAAATATATATAAGTCACTTAGATAACTTAAAAATGTTATTGTTTGGCTTTTTTTTAGTATTTTATTGGTTCCTGAGTAAATCGGTTTGGCTGAGATTGAAGTTTTAGTTTTTACACAGCTGAATAAACGGCAAGCAGACAGCTGATTATCAGCTGTCTCTGTGTAACACTAGATACAACTGAGGTTATTAGCTAACAGCATTTAGAGGTCTTTGCTGATAAATATCTATGATGATAGACAGACATGCAGTGCCTTCTGCTTAAGAAACATCTTTTTTTTTTCCCCCATCACAACATGAGGTAGGAGAACATTGCGTTGACATCTCTCTAATCTTTCCTCTCTGCAGCGGACAGTTTGCCATCGTCCGTAAGTGCAAGGAGAAGAGCACAGGCATCGAGTACGCAGCCAAGTTTATCAAGAAGCGGCGGCTGTCGTCCAGCCGGCGGGGGGTGAGCCGCGAAGAGATCGAGCGCGAGGTCAACATCCTGCGCGAGATCCAGCACAGCAACATCATCACCCTGCATGACATCTTTGAAAACAAGACGGATGTGATCCTGATCCTGGAGCTGGTGTCTGGAGGAGAGCTGTTCGACTTCCTGGCAGAGAAAGAATCTCTGACTGAGGAGGAGGCCACGCAATTTCTCAAGCAGATCTTGGATGGCGTTCAGTATCTCCACTCCAAACGCATCGCTCACTTCGACCTCAAGGTCAGCACTGAGGGGAAACTTGAGGGGCTCTTATACAGCGGTGGTAGATGACATGTTGGTGAGAGCAGACAAACACGGCTGCCCTGATTCTCCATCCATCCATCCATTCGCTTCCGCTTATCCTTTTCAGGGTCGCGGGGGGCACTGGAGCCTATCCCAGCTGTCATAGGGCGAGAGGCGGGGTACACCCTGGACAGGTCGCCAGTCTGTCGCAGGGCCAACACACAGGGACAGACAACCATTCGCACTCACATTCATTCGCACATTCACAGTGACAATTTGGATTATCCAATTAACCTATCCCCACAAGCTGCATGTCTTTGGACGGTGGGAGGAAGCCGGAGTACCCGGAGGGAACCCACGCAAACACGGGGAGAACATGCAAACTCCACACAGAAAGACCCCGGCCTGATGGTGGAATTGAACTCAGGACCTTCTTGCTGTGCGGCAACAGTGCTAACCACCGTGCCGCTGCCCTGATTCTTTTGGGCTAAAAACATGCTATATTTTGGGCTAAATATCTTAACATTAATGAAATCATATTTTCAGGGAGGACTACTCTCAATGGGGTTAATGTACTAATCTCATTTTTGATAGCTAAAAGTTAGACATAAGCTTCTAATAAAGGAAAAGACTACTAATCTTTATCAATAAAGATACGGTGACCAAAGCCTTTAAACTGTACTGCAACATTTAACTTCACGAGGATAGAATAAAAATCGTATAATAGGATTATTTCTGTATTATTTTAGTTGGTGGATGATGGCATGTACAGGAGCAAAGCTTATTTTTATGGACTTGTATGCAAGCTGCTGACAGTGGTGATAAAATGCAAGTGTCACGGTTCAAAAGCTCAAGTAGAAAATGCTGCTTTGTCAGTGTCTAATGTCATCGACTCGCCCTCCTCCTTTCAGTGATATAGTTGTTTTTTTTTCTCCATTTTTTTTTTTTTATCTTTCAGCCTGAGAATATCATGCTGCTGGACAAGAATGTCCCCAACCCCAGGATCAAGCTAATAGATTTTGGGATCGCTCATCAGATCAAAGCAGGAAACGAGTTCAAGAACATCTTTGGAACACCAGAGTTTGTTGGTGAGAGCCCGTGGCCTCCTAAATATTCACTTCCAGCCTTGTGCCAGATTGTTTCCATGCAGTGAGTCAGACCCTGTGAGAGGGTGATCGTGGCTTCAGATTACATCTGCTTTGAATTAAAGGGCTCATTCCTGTGTTTTACAGCACCAGAAATAGTCAACTATGAGCCACTTGGACTGGAGGCAGACATGTGGTAAGATACCAACCTGTTTTTTTTTGTTTTTTTTTTTGTTTTCCCCCCCACTTTCTGAAGCTGTGGTTTAACCTAACAGTTTTTACTGATCTTTATTTATCCTCTCGTCTCTGCAGGAGCATTGGTGTCATCACGTATATTCTGTGAGTGAAGCTTATAGTTTGTAAAAAAAAACAGAAACCACCTGATTCTTCAAAACGGGCTCTAAAGTAAAGTTTCTGACTGGTTACAGGTTGAGCGGTGCCTCGCCGTTTCTGGGCGAGACCAAACAAGAGACGCTGACCAACATCTCAGCTGTCAACTACGACTTCGATGAGGAGTATTTCAGCAACACCAGCGAGCTGGCGAAGGACTTCATACGCCGTTTGCTAGTAAAGGATCCTAAGTAAGAATATCTTTATGATTTTTATCCAATGCTTGTTGATGTCACAATTCCAGAAATGTATTAGCTATAGCACATTGTTGTCGTCTGCTGTGATGAGCTTTTTTCTAGACTTGCAGAATTTTAACTTTTGCTTATTTACCTTGATCAATCAATCAGCGGTCGCTCAGCTGCAGCGGGAAGATAAAAAATTCTTAAATACGTAGTGTAATGATTGTAGAACATGCAGAAACTGAAAAAATGCAGCAAACTAAATCAACAAACACGCGCATGGTGAATCTCTCTCTCTCTAGATAGATAGATAGATAGATAGATCGATCTATATGAATGTACAATTTGCATAGAATATTTGTATACTTCATGCAGATGCTGGCACTCACAGTGCCCTGGTCTTCAGCATTTAACCAACACTAATGGATTTTCTTTTGCAGGAAAAGAATGACCATTGATGACAGTCTTGAGCACCCCTGGATTAAGGTTTGCAGTTTAAGTCTTTGTTTACATCTTTATAGATTAAACATTCAGTGAAGTGGGAAAAAAAATTGAAGAACTTCATGTGAAATTTCACATCTGATAATCAGGCCAACTGAAAATATGACTCTTTACTCCCATCTTTTGGTTCTTGTCATCAAATTCTTGCTCGTTTTTCAGACCTGTACCTTTTTACCTCTTCAGGTCATTAAGAGGCGGAACGTACGCCAGGAGGACAGAGATCACAAGACTGAGCGCCGGCGCCTGAAGACTACTCGTCTCAAGGAGTATACCATCAAGTCCCACTCCAGCATGCCTCCGAACAACACCTACGCCAACTTTGAGCGCTTCTCCCAGGTGCTCGAGGAGATTGCGGCGGCTGAGGAAGGCCTGAAGGAGTTGGAGCGCAACCAGCGCTCTTGCCGCGAGGACGTGGCAGCGCTGCTATCGATATATGAGGAGAAGGAGGGGTGGTACAAGGAAGAGAACCAGAGCATCTCTGGTGACCTGAACCACATCCGCCAAGAGCTGCAGCGCACGCAGACGCAGCGCAAGAAGTGCCAGGAGGACGCGCGGGTCACTATGCAGTCGGCCAACATCCTCAAGCGCAAGTTTGGGCGCCTGGAGAACCGCTACGAGGTCCTGGCCGAGCAGGTGGCCTCCGAGGTCCGCTGGGTGGAGGAGCTGGTGAAGTCAATATCGGCAGAGAAGGACGGCCTCAGCTCTGGCAGCACGCCGTGAGCGGCGCTGACATCCAGCAGTGAGGGTTTCATCATCAAGCTTTCATCTTGCCTGTCGTCTCTGCTCGTGCACTACACAGCGGAGTTTGAGAGGGTCAGTCGTCATCATAAGCTACGCCGCCGCTGTCGCCCATCAGAAAGGGAAAAAATAAATAAATAAAAATCCTACTTTTATGTCACGTTTGAGAGAACAAGAAGCAGAGAGGCAACATGTGGAAGCCATTCCTCTTTGAAAAATCATTCCTGTGTCAATGAATTTATTTATATTTTTACTAATTTCATGTACTGTAATTCAGCTGTTTGCTTGTTTTGGGGTTGTTTTTGTTTGTTTGTTTTTTTTTACACATAGAAATGAATTCATTTGTTTACTTGGTTATTATACCTGGTTATTATTTTAAAAATTGGTCTTAACTTCCTGTTGCTTTTAAAAAGCCTTCACTCTCCAATCATCTGTTCCCGCCTCAGGTCACATGAGAAAGCTTCACAATATTCGGTGTATAGTTTCAGGTTTGAGGCATTAGGTGGTATTTATTTTTTGCCTTTTTACATTTCAAATGACTTTAAAATTCATATTTGGGACGTGTAACTATGAATTATGCAAACCCTCGCACAAAATAAAAGTTTTAGGGCTTTATTTTAATGTCCGATTATTATTTTTCTAAGTTTATTGAACATTTCTGGGAAAAATAAAC